ATAAAAAAATATATTTCTTTTAAAATCATAATCTCTGTGCTTTCTTTTTTTATAACTCGTAATTTAAAATTTACTATGTTGATTTTTACAAAATAGGGTTTTGTCCGCGATTTTTGAAATTCCTCCCAGTGTGCGGCGATACCGCCCGACATGTTGGCGCGTTGTGTGCCAGAATTCATTATCCGCAATCAAAAATGTGTTGAAATGGAATGACGACATTTCGAACATTTTTTATAAATTGTTTTCATAGCCGACTATTGTTGTTAATGTTAATTTTTGTTTTTCAAACGTTTCAAATAATACATTTTACAAGGAAACTCATTTTTCTTAAATTTTGAATTACAGCGCCATCTGTTGATAAATTGAAAAAAGTTTTAAATAAAAGTTATTTATTTTTTTATGTACTACCAAACTCTGAAAAAAATCGGGTCATTCCATTTGACTTTCCAAAGTTACCCCCCCGTTTCACCCTTAAGGAGGGGTAGGGGGTGGCTAGCGGTAGCACCAAATAATGTCCCCTTTAGTCACATTAACCTTTTATTTAAGACATTTTTCCGTGAAATGCGTATTTCTCGAGATATTGAGCTGTCTCAAGTTAAAAGAAACACCCTGTATATCTCCATTATTCGAGCTAAACTGGTAAAACCCCTTAAAGGATTTGTTTTGGGGGTTGCCTAGATTCGATTTTTTCAGATTTGATCCCAGTTCATTTTTTGTGTTGCACAGTGTTATAAGCAAATTGTTTTTTTTAATAAATCTAATGGAATCAAGCACAGATTAACTTATTTACATTAAAACCATGAATTTTAAAAAATATCAGGTGAGATTAAGGTGGGGGGAGGGGGTCGAGCAAAATCTCACGACATCTCACCAAGGGGAGGGGGGGGGGGTCGAAAAATCGCCAAAATTGTCTCACGTAATTAATGAACGGCCCCTTACCGCTAGTAAATCCGAATTGTTCCTCGATCATGATGTTATTTATGTTAATTTCGTTGTTAAGTCTTTTTAGTATGATTTTATCTAGAATTTTTCCAAGGCTGCTCAGTAGGGCTATTGGGCGGTAGCTATTCTTATCTTTTGGTTTTTTTCCATTTTTAATCAGGGGGATAACTTTGGCGTTTTTCCAAACAGAGGGGTAGTATTGTTGTTTGATACATTTGTTGAAGATGTAGTGTAATTGCACTATTAGCTTAATTGGTATTCGCTTAAGTACTCGGTTTTGGATACCGTCTTGACCGGGTGCTTTCAGAGGTGGCAGATTCCTAATGATAGCTTTGACTTCTCTTGGCGATGTCTGGTGTTCAACGGGAACGTCGAACACAATTCCTTCGATTGAGGCAATTTTGTTGTTGACTCTGTCAATGATGTGTGGGTCAGGGAGCGCACCAATGTCTATCCTTATAGTTGAAAAATGATCGGCCAGCACGTTGGCTTTCTCATTAGTCGACATGTGCCTTGCTCCCTGATCTTCGATTACCGGAATGTCATTATTGAAACCCCTTTTACGTGCTTTAATCGTTTTCCACACACATCCTTTACGTTTTACCTCCTTTCGAATTCGGTTGTGTTCTCGTTGTGTGACCAGATCATCGTTTTTATAATGTCATTTAGCTCTCTTAGGTCTGCCGCCCTTTCTGCATTCCGGCCGTTACGTTGCCATCTCCGTTTTAAGCGGTTACGGTGTTTTATGAGCTCTTGTAATTCTTGGGGGGTGTTATTACGATTATTTGCCTCTCTGTTTGGAATGTTTGCCTCGTTAGCCTCCTGTATAAGGTTTTGGATTTCGCTTATTTTATCGTCAATTTCATTGGTGTTGAGAAATTCTCTTTTCATTGTGAAACCTCTATTGATTTGATTTTTGAAACCGTCCCAGTTGGCCCTTGAGTAGTCTTTATAAATTCTAGCTTGGGTACTTTGTTGCGTATTTAGTTTGATTTCGGTTACTATTGGAAGGTGGTCAGAGCACAGATCGTTAATTGCGAAGGTGTTAGTGACACTGATGTTTTTCGAAACGTTAATATCCATCACTGAAGGTGCTTGTTGGCGGTTTGTTGGGACAAATGTGTTGTCGCCTGGTGCCGTAATGTCTAGCAGTAGTTCGTCTGCATATTCCGCCAGTTGGTTGCCTCTTTGGTTATTTACTCGGCAACCCCATAGTCTGTTTCGAGCGTTAAAGTCCCCTGACATTATGAATTTCCTGCCTAAGTTCGTTAGTATGTCTAAGTCAAGTGTTCTTAAATGTCCGTATGGGGGGTTGTATCCTATAAATGTGGTGTTTGAATTTCCTCAAAGTCGATTCCGTTCATGATATACATTGCTATACCTCCGCCGGTCACGGTTTTTAAAAATATTTTTGTAGCCCGGTATGAAATTGGGGGTTTTGTTTGTGGCAGTTTTGGTTTCGACAATAGATATTATCTGAAACTGGAAGTCCGCATTAATTAGGAAGTTTTTAAGCTCCCCAATTTTATTGTTCAGCCCGTTGGCGTTCCACGTAAGTATTCTTATTGTTTCAAGTGTCATGGCCATATTAATTCATTAAGTGTCTGTACATTATTATTTTCCTGTCTTCGGGTCGGGCATTTTGTAGTTGTCTGTTAAGTTCTCTTATTTCAGACAGTATTTCCCCTAGGTCAATTAGGGATTTTAAAGTTTTAAGTCCTTCTTTGAACTCCAGATATTGATTGCCTGCATCGGTACTAGTGCCTTTTTTAATTGCTTCGCTGTATCCTGTACTGTTATTTGTTACTCTGGAAGATTCCATGTTTTTTAGTGTTGGGAAGTTGTATTTATTTATGTTTATTTATTTTATTGGGTTTTTCTTTAGACCCGTGGTTTCTTTTTGTTAGAGGTATTCAATCAGTGTTGGGCATTTTGAGTAGTTGGCCGGATGGTCACCTTTGCAATTGGTGCACTGGGCTTTGGAGCTTTCCGTTTTTGTTACGGTGCAATCTTTTGTGGCGTGTTCTCCTACGCATTTAACGCATTTGGCCTTTTTGTGGCATGTTGATTGGCCGTGCCCAAAGTCTTGGCAGTTGTAGCATTGTGTGTATGGTTTTGTGTGCCTGTATGACTCCCATTTGCATCCGACGTGGCTCATTGCCAGGACTTCCTTTACATTTTTTAAGTTTGTACTCTTTGGGGTTTTTATTAGGTATGAGTAAGTCTGTTCGTTCTTTCCTTTAAGTGGGATACATGCGTCAATTTCGATGTTAAGAAGTTTGAGTTCTTCTTTGATAGCGTCTGGTTTCATGTTTGGGGCTGCCTTTAGAACAATTTTCTTTGGTTTTTCCTCCCTTTTTTGGAATGTGTAGAATTCTGTTTTTGTTTGGTCTACCTCTTTTACTAGTTTTTCGTGTGCCTCTTGGGTGGCCGCATATAGTTTTGTTGCTTTTTTACTATAATGTATGTGAAAGTTGCTTTGTCCCACAATTTCTGCGCAGGTGTCTATGAGAGTGGCGTAGTTTACTAGGCCGCTGCTCGCAAGTATTATTGGCGGGGGTTTTTTGATTATTTTTACCGCCTCGTTATTTTCTTCGTTTTCCATGTCGTTAGTTTGGTTTAGCACGCCAAATCTGTTTGTTGTGGGTACGTTATATTGTCCTTTTGTTTGGTCGCTAGTACCGGGTCGGTGATAACCGTGGGGATCGTTTTTGGCATTTTTGTTGGGGGTGTCATATGTTTGTAAATTTTAAATACTTGTTGTGTACTTACCGGTTTTTTGCCGGTTGCCTCCTTTTCCTTGCTTACTCTCATGGCTTCGCACAATCGTCTGACAAATAGGTCTTTGTCAGACCTGTTTGCGGGGAGGAACTCCCTCTCGCCTTGGATGGTGATTGCCTTTGGGTTGTCAGGGTCGAAAATCTTCCTTGGCTCCTCCAGCTTGTCACTTATCACTTGCACTTAAAAACACTCACTATTACGGATCGCTCTCGCTAGTATACCACTGTTGATCGCTAAATCTCGACTATCTAGATACCAAAAACGTACTCGTTTATTTATGTGCGCGAAGTGAACGACGCGTACTGATCGTATTTACCTGAGTGAGCCTGCTGTTTATGCTGTGTTATTAGGGGCCGTTCATTAATTACGTGAGACAATTTTGGCGATTTTTTGACCCCCCCCCCTCCCCTTGGTGAGATGTCGTGAGATTTTGCTCGACCCCCTCTCCCCCCCCTTAATCTCACGTGAGATTTTTTAAAATGCATGGTTTTAATGTAAATAAGTTAATCTGTGCTTGATTCCATTAGATTTATTAAAAAAAAACAATTTGCTTATAATTGTTTACTTAATTTAACCCAGTTTTCTCGCAATTTTACACTCTTTCTTTCGGAAAAAAAAATTACGTGATATTTGCCAAGACCCCCCCTCCCCCCACGTGAGATTTGGTGAGGTTTGGCTCGACCCCCTCCCCCCCCCTAAACACCTCACGTAATTAATGAACGGCCCCTTATCACATTTTATAAGCAAAGGTTTCAATAAAAGAAAAATAATCTCGGTAACAATATAACTAAAAATTCATCCATGGCACAAGTGAAAAATCAGCCACTATTAACTATTAAATTAGTTACTTTTGACTAATTCATTTTTAGAGAGTACATTTCCTGTTATTTAAGGTATAACAAAGGGTCGGGCTGGGGGTGAATCTGTGAAAAAATAAAAATTTTAAAATCAACTGAAAATTGCGTCATATAAAATAAAAATCGACGTGTCCGAGCATTTTTCTATAAAATTCATATTTTTTAAGTTCTAGGGGCTTTTATATATCTCCATTATTCGAGCTAAACTGGTAAAACCCCTTAAAGGATTTGTTTTGGGGGTTGCCTAGATTCGATTTTTTCAGATTTGATCCCAGTTCATTTTTTGTGTTGCACGCGTTTTTCCTTAATCTTTGGTAAAGTTATAACCTATACTTAACATGTCAGTAAAAATTCAACAAAAAATAAACTTAAAGATGGCACTTGTTAATGAAAAAAATAGAGAATTTCTACACAGTTCTTTTACACTGGGAGATCTTCCACATCCGTCTCATCCAGTACATCAGGTACATTGACGCTGTGTTTTAGTGCTAAATACTCATGATGGTATTCCGGAGGGATTGTGTTTTTTTCGCACATTTCTTTTAAATTATTGAATTTTGTTTTAGTTATTGGAAGTTCAGATTTATATGCTTCTTTGATAGGAAACTCAATGGTTCCTCCCATTGAGTTTCCTCCCTTCGGTTTCTTCATTGCTACAGTACCCTGTTTTTCTTCGCCGTCATATTCATATTTATAAAAAAACATTGTCGAATCCTTGTTGAATTTTAAAAATCTTTTACTTTCAAATTTCCTTCCTTTGATGAAATCTTCATCAATTGCGCAGCTTCTTTGAAATCAAGAAAATCTGTGTATTTTAGCGTTTTGACTTCATAGGGTCTGGGTTTCAGTCTTGCATTTCTTAAAATTGTCGACCATTCTGATGGAGCCATCACAGACTTTCGTTTTATAGATTTCTCCACTACCGCATACTTAGAATCAACCGGCATGAAGGTATGGTATGGCCAGTCAAAAGAAGTGTTAGTAAGATTTCATTTATGTTGCTAGAACAATTATTTAAGAAATGGTATAGCATAAATAGTAACATTTTATTTTTACTTTGTCCCCCACAATTATCGCAGAAAAACTCGACACAGTTAACATCACTATTTGCATCTGCATTTTTGAGATAATTAAATAGATTACTACATATCTCATTAGAACCACGTTTGCCGTTTTTTTCTTCCCACAAATAGCAAATTCCATTTCTTGTGAGCGATTCATAAGTTGTAAAATTATACACTGCGTATTTTCTGTAGAACCCCGTTAACATGCGGAGTAGACAATATCTTCTGCAAGTCAAAGGTAGCAATACGCCTTTCTTGGTTTATTTCGGCTTCTTTCTGTTTATCTAAAAATATTTTCTTTCTCCTGTGTATGTCTTCTGTAACTTTCGATCTGGTCACCTGTTTTTTGACTCTCTGTTAAATTCTTATAGAATTCACATTGTACGCATTTATCTTTTCTGGGCACATGGATGCCATAGTTATAATTTTCTTTAAACTTATTTAAGAAACTAGTCTTTTTTAAAGGGCGAGCTGACGATTCTTCCATTTTCGTTCGATACATCCTGTATAGGTTGTTAAAAGACCTTATGTGCGGAGGAAGGTATTTCCTACTGCGGCAGTAGTGAGATGGCACCACAGGAAGACGGTCCACAATTTTTTAAAAAATATCAATTTGCTCCTCTGTAGATTTATTTTTCGGGGGATATTCATATTCGCCTCTCCTGTCTTTTCCATCTGGAAATATTTCGCGGATCTTATTAGCAATAACAGTTCTAAGGCACCTTTGAGTTATGCCCAATGTACACAGCAAAAATTGTTGATAAACCCTTCCTTTTTTATTGTTTCTTAAAAGATAATATTCATGCGTCAACTGACGCTTAAAGTCTTTCTTTGACACATTCACTTAAAAACAGCTTCTGTTTCATATTATCACCCAATTCATAGTAATTCTGAAAGTAAGTCTTTCTTTTGTCTTCTGAAAACTTGTTACACCTGTTGTTATATTTTTTCCTGTACATGGGTTTGGCCCTATTTTTTTTCAAAACATTCTTTATTATGACAAGTTCTGTATTTTCTACCACTTTTTCGGTTTTTCTGGTTTTCCAACCTTTTGTTAGCTTTTTTGACTGATTTTCCTTAGCGTCACCATCATTATTGGAATTACTAGATACGTTACTTGATGACGAGTTTAACGATTTAAGATCACCACTTCTCTCCTGCTCTAAAGTTCCAGACTTATCTAGGTTTAGTAAGTTATCGTTTGTTAGAACGTGGGTCCTGTATATTGATCACACTAGAATCATCACAGCTGCCAAGGGAGCACGGAATAAAATTGTCCTTTTTAGGGCAAGCTAACACCACAGCTGAAGCTTTATTCAACACGTCTTCATTGCAAAATGGTGCGAAAAGAGGATCGTATTGATCTTCAATGACGTAGTTTAATAGTTTCGAAGAATTTTTAACTGGAGAAGAATTCACAACTGGACAGGAATGTGAATCCGAAAAACGATTTCCCAAGTAGAAAATCCCAGCATGATTAGAATAATTCTAACACACGGTCATCACCGTTATCTTCAAAAGTAATTTCTTTATCATAATCTGGAACTGGTTCTGAATAATTCACCACATTATCAAAAATTATGTCATGATTTATTGCTTCAGTCAGCATATTATTTTCTCGAGCTTTTTTCTCAATAATAGAATCATCTGATGATTTCTTTAGCAGTGCCAGAATTTTCTGCCCTCTGGAGCTCATGTTTGTTCGGGCATAAGCGCCAGATTTGAGTTGCTAAAATAAAAAAAACAGGAAACATTGTAGACGACTTTTGTAAAGGTATAATAAATCATTATTATTTGCGGATTGTGCATAACTAAAAACAATGGCAGATAATAATTTTAGGATAAAATTATGGGACCTCACTGGGTATACAAGATTGTAATAGCTTATGGCGCTTACGACTGACACAATTCCCTAATTTCAGGTTGGCAAAAGCGACACACATTTATATCTATTTTTTACAAGAGTAGCTTGTATTAAACGTAAAATAACATGCAAATAAGGTAAATCACTAACCTGGTGTAGGTTTTACACCTTAACTTTATATTTTATGCGTTAAAAATAAGCGAAATTGATATTAACACGCACACACTTTCTCCAATGGTGTTCTGTACTTCACTGGTGGTTATGCCACGTAGTACGTGGCACGTACGGTCAGGTCTGAAGCAACCTGTTCACAACAATCTGGCGCTTGCGCAACTTTAAATTAAAATATATTTGTAAATAATTTTGAAGGCGCTTAGACTTATTTATTAGAGGTGGGCGAACCTGCAATTTTAGTGGAGCAGTGACAAGACGTGACTGCTCCAGATGTGTAACGGTGACCAATAGCAGTGATTTTTTGGAGGTTACTAATATAATCTGCAGTGTCTTTGCTACGTGACATACATATAATCGCGGTCCAAGACGCTGTCTAGGATCGCGGTCGCAACCGAGAGATGTTCTCTGCATCGCAGCTCGCACGGTTTCGGGTTTATGTCACCTGTAACATTGCCCGTTTATTCATTTTATTAAACTTAACATTTATTGATACTTTAAAATATTAAAATAACTTTAAAATATGATTATGTTAAAAAAATATTTTACCCTTTAATTTTTTTATCAGTATATTTGCAAAATATTATTAAAAAGTATTAAAAATTCTTACGGGTAATATTAAAGGTGACAATAATTACTATGGTTTATTATGCTATTTTAGCAAACATGGTTTGTTATGCTTTTTCAGCGGCCTTGCCAGATTAATAAATCTATAATATTAGCTAATAAAAAATATTATAGATTACCTACAAAAATAATAATCCAAGGATATCCTGGGATATTCCAAAACGAAAAATGGCATCGCGGACACCTGGCGAATATGGATTCTGGGAATCCCACTTTTTTCAGTTCACCGAAACTTAAATTTTATAAACATTTGATATTCTCTAAGAAAACTTTTCTTCTTCGCTAAAAGTAATAAAAACTAAAAATTGTTTAGTAAACGTTTTTAGTCTTTATTATTGCCTTCTTAAAGTTCAAAGCGGTGGTTCAGTATTCAGTAAAGTGCTTATCAAAGTAGGACCGATATTATTATCATTAGTGCATAACTTTTTATTTATCCATATAAAAATTTACTTTTTTTTTACAATGAACAGAACAGTTTTTTGTGGAAATATTTCTCCCAAGAAAATGATACGATCGCAAAGTGTAATTTATGTAAAAAACTGTTAGTTACAAAACATCTACGACAAACTTAAAAAAACATTTAGAACGCTTACACCCATTAGTAAAACTTATCTATGAAGATTTCACAACTAAAGTTACGAATGACTTCGGCAGCCATATTCAAGCAGAAAACATAAGTACAGCCGGGCCAAGTACATCCACATCAACTTCAAGAAACCTTGAATCAAACCAAAAGCCAGAAGATACTGAAGCAAGACCTTTAGTTGATAATATTAAACAAAAAACGTCTCAGACAAAATTGCCATTTATGCCAAAAACCATAAATATTCATACGAAAACAAAACTGGACAAATGTTTATTTATAACAGATTTACAACCTTTTACTGTCGTAGAAGATCAAGGATTTAAAAATTTTGTGCAAATGCTAAACCCATCATATCAATGGCCGAGCAGGAAATATGTATCAAATACTTTGTTACCTGCAATGTATGAGGAAAAATATAATGATGTTCAAAACCTAATAAAAAATGTTCTGCCTGTTACATTAACAACCGATTGTTGGACCTCGAGGAACACACAAAGTTTTATGGCTGTGACGAACCATTTTGTAAGTGAGAACTTTCAAGCAAAATCGGATTTATTAGAATGTTTTTTTTTCTTCTGAGGCACACACTAGCACGAATTTAGCAACTGAACTAAATCGTGTAGTAACGATATGGGGTCTGGAATCCAATATTCTCTTAGCGGTGACAGATAATGCAGCAAATATTAAAAAGGCGATAAAAGAGGATCTGGCATGGCAACGCTCATACTGTAAACCTACTAGTGCAGGATAGACTTAAAGAAGTTTCACCCAATTGTAACTAAGTTGCGTACATTGGTACTACCAATTTGGTAGCACATTTTAAAAGAAGTACAAATGCGAATAGTAAATTAGTGGATATACAAAAACAAGCTGGAAAGAACACAAAAAACTTCAAGATGTCGTAACAAGGTGGAACTGCACTTTTTATATGCTTGATAGGATATTAGAATTGGAGGAACAGGTTCGCACTGTTATGGCCTTATTAAATGTAAGCAATCTTCCTATTATATCAATTGAAGAATGGGAACTACTTCAACAGTAAGGAAAGTGCTTAAAACCGATGGAAGAAATAACAAAAATAATAAGTGGCCAAAAACATGTCACTTTGTCATCAGTGATAATTTTAACTAAGGGACTTGAAAATATTTATTTGGAAATGGCAAAGGAAAATCTATTGCCCTTTATTTAAAATATAGTCAAAAGATTTTTAACAGGAATTTCGGAGCGCCTGGGAGACTTGGAAAATTCACAAACATTGTTAGTATCTAGTTTTCTTGATCCCAGGTTTAAAAATGTGGGATTTACTTGCGAACGTGCAGCTGAACAAGCCAAACAGTTAGTTATAAGATTAGTGTCTCAAAAAATTACCCAATCAGCCCTCAAATTCAAAGAC